ATTATGTAGTTAGCCGCTTTCTCGTAGAAACCTGTAGAATTTCATATGTAAATGAAATGACTCCAAACCAAGTTGTCTATAGGGAAATGGGCAGTTACTGTAGCTCAAATACATTTTGAAATCTATAGGCCCAATTTGGTAAATTTCTATCATCAGACGTCTGTTTTTTATCGTCGCCGTTCATTATTCTTACGAAAATGTTCTCCTTTCCTACTGCATGGTAAATTAATTGGCAATAATTGTATCATGAATATTAGCATTAACAACCAGTGTATATGATTACTGGGCTACGCAGTGTAAAGGAATTGTATCATTGTATTCATCTTTGCTGTCCGTTTTGATACAATACAAGAGCATGCACAAGAGTTTTCTCTCTCACTAGCGGTTACCGTGATTTTTTTTCCTCTCATATATTTTGATATGTTATTTTTTTTTTTTATTTATAATTGAACTTTCTTTTAATACATTATTCCCGACATCTAGTTCTGTTTACATCTTTTGCATGCATTTCGATATGAGTTTGAAACTATATACGAGGATTCTAATGGACATGAAGTTTCCCTTCAATGCTTTATTCGACTGAACAATCAACCGTTTAATTCAAGTACTTAAAGCTTGAAGCATGACTACAATTACATATTTTACCCCTTAAGTTACCATCCATTAACATTATGTAGATGATTGCTTTTCTGTTTGCTGTATGAAATATGCATTAAAGTACAACCAACGATGAGTGTTAGAAAGGAATGATGCCAAAATGTCATATAACATTCAGTGTGGAGAAGGACGGGGGAAGGGGGTAGAGTACAAATAGTAATCGAACCCCGCCATACGTAGATATTCCTGTCCCATGTACGAGGAAAATCGTCTAACAAATATCATAACTTAAAGTCATATCTTAATGTCTGTGTCTCGTTTAGACTTTGAGTGTTCAAAGTCAGATCTCGAGGCGATCATGATCCTGATAAACTATTTGCGTAACATCAGGAGATAACTGTTTCATTCATATTTAAGACGAAATTAAAATAAAACTGGTAGCCGTTCAATTTTGTCCCATCCGGATAAAGGATGGACAATTTAGAATTGCACTCATTGCTGCTGTGTTCCATTTTTGATATCTATATCATTAATGGAAAGCTTAATACTAAAATATATGATAAAAGAGATGATTTTTCATTTCCTATCGTTAATTATCCATTTTTAGATGGTGACGTTCCCTTGTCACCATCTTACGGTGTTAATATGTCTCAACTTGTACGATTCGCTCGTGTATGTAACAATGTTTTAGATTTTAACGAGAGAAATTTATGTATTACTGAAAAATTATTACACCAGGGTTTTCGATATCACAAACTAGTCAAAACATTTACTAAATTTTATCATCGGTATAAGGACATCATTCGTAAATATAGCTCAACATGCAGACTTCTTATACGTTCAGGTATTTCACATCCAATTTTTTATGGAAATATTCTTTATAAAGCACAAAAATGTCAGTATTCACCTCTGAAGCTAAAAAACCTTTAAATAGACTTATTAAGAAGGGATATAGTTACGATACTGTTGTCAGGTCATTAAAGATTGCATATTTTGGCGTTAATATTGATTCACTTATAGGGTCTTTGCATCGGCACTAAACACAATTATTTAAAAACCAGTTGTTGGCATGACACGGGTTATGTTCTTCTCATATATGTTATGATGGTATGATAGTAAACCCCTAACGGGAAGGATTGTGCCTGATATTCATATGCTGAAGACATAATCTTTCAATCAGTTTAATTGAAGTCTGGAGCTGGCATGTCAGTTAACTGCTAGTAGTCTGTTGTTATTTATGTATTATTGTCATTTTGTTTATTTTCTTTGGTTACATCTTCTGACATCAGACTCGGACTTCTCTTGAACTGAATTTTAATGTGCGTATTGTTATGCGTTTACTTTTCTACATTGGCTAGAGGTATAGGGGGAGGATTGAGATCTCATAAACATGTTTATCCTCGCCGCATTTTTTGCGCCTGTCCCAAGTCAGGAGCCTCTAGCCTTTGTTAGTCTTGTATTATTTTTAATTTTAGTTTCTTGTGTACAATTTGGAGTTTAGTATGGCGTTCATTATCACTGAACTAGTATATATATTTGTTTAGGGGCCAGCTGAAGGACGCCTCCGGGTGCGGGAATTTCTCGCTGCATTGAAGACCTGTTGGTGACCTTCTGCTGTTGTCTGTTCTATGGTCGGGTTGTTGTCTCTTTGACACATTCCCCATTTCCATTCTCAATTTTATTACTTTGAATAATGATACATACCCTTGTTAACCTTTATATTCAAATCAAAGTGTTTTGCAGATATTGAAAAAATTATCCGCCAGAAACTAAAGGACGAGAATGAAAACTATTATAGCTCATCGTACGACCTTATAGAAAGACCGAAGCCCGCAACATATAGTAAGCTTTAACAAAAACGGAAAACCAACGTTCTTATTTATGATAACCCTATTTGATCAGTGTGATATAATACAGACAAAAACATATCTAGTCCAGAGCATTAAACCTATGTGCATGAACATCCGGAGTTCCTACAACAACAAAACATAGTTGGATGAACATTGATCGTAAATCAATAACTAAAGTTTTGTGGAAAAGAAAAAAACAGTTTTTTTCCTGATTACTTGAATACACCTTTGAATATGATTATTCTTTCAAAAGGAACTTTATGATGTGATTATATAAATCCGAAATAAAAAAAAAACCTTTTATTTTATGAATGGAAATGTGTAAAGATAGTAATTTTGCACATCATCATCGAGATGCCCCTGACATACTGTAATTGCGTGAAATCTTTCTTATCGACAGCCAGCGAAACACACGATGACGTTTAAATACCAGGTGTATACATCTACGCTGTTGAAGATTCTATTCTTTATTCATGACAAGTTAGTGACTTTCAGTGCTTTTAACGAGTTTCTTAACTACAATCAAAGAACTTATCATTATTTTTGTAATAAAAACCATGAAAATAGTGGAATTAACCAATTTTGAAGTGTAAACAATTATTTGGATGTTTTTGATAAATTACGTGCTTTTGATGGTCCTTTTATTTCGGTTGACAGTTTTGACTTTTCCACTGTTTGCGCTGCACATCCACACAATCTTATCTAATAAAAATTCCTATTCAATTAAATGGTCGTTCGATAAATCGATAATTAACTCATGTAAAGCCTTTTTCACAAACGAGAAAGATAAATATGCTAGATATACTTACTGGAGGTGTGATGAGATTATAAAAGCTAAAAATGTCACCATGACAACATTTATGTACGTTTCGGTTAAAAAGTTTCTCGACAGATTGTATGTATTCCTATGGGTACCAATTAAACCCCTTTAATAGCAGACTTGTACCTGTACTGTTAAATGAATGAATCACAGTTTATGGCCAAACTCAGTAAAGACCCGTCTAAATTCCATTTAATTGATAAATTCAACAACACTTACCGTTATCTTGATAATATGTTTTCGTTAAATAATCATGAATTATCTAAATATACTGCCGAAATTTACCCACAGGAACTTACCTTAAATAAATCAAATATAAACAGCAATAAGTGTCTTTTCCTTGATTTTGACATTTCAGTTTGACACCAGAAACTACACAAAAATTTACGACAAAAGGGATGATTTTTCTTTTCCTATTGTTAACTTTCCTTTTCTGGACGGTGATGTTCCTCTGGGACCATCCAACGGTGTTTATATATCCCAACTCCTTTGTTATGCTCGTGTCTGTAGCATGTGGTCTGTAGTGACGTTTTGGATTTATTAAGTCAGGGATTTCGTTACCACAAATTACTTAAAACCTTTACTAAATTCTTCCATAGATACATATACAAAGATTTGAGTTGCAAGTTTCGCTGTACCTGTAGAAAACTTATTTCAAACGGAAAAAGCACAATCTAAATTTTACGGTGGTTAACCGAACCCGGAAAAATATATACGATAAGGTAAACTAATCAATCCTTTTATAAATACATTTATTTTAAAAGGTTATCTATTCAACACTGTAGTTTAATCTTTGAATATTGTTTTTATTTGTACAAATATTGATTTTGTTATCAGTAAATTAAAACCGTACTAAAATTAAACTCATGCACCTTCACGGTACTACAATCTGTCGATACCTATATTTTTTCAAAACACAAGATCATGTTTTTTCTCTGACTGGTGATGACGTCTTTACACTTCATCCGTTGGAAATTGGATGTGTACTGATTGATATTTTAGTCTTAGATACATGATTTTTTTTTATTAGTTGTTATTTGCTTTGAACTAGCTGCCAGTAACTGCAAGTATTCTCAGATCTGTACTAAGTGTCTTTTTTGTTGTTAGTAATGAGGGATATATATATTATATATATATATATATATATATATATATACCCTGCCACGTCCTGTCTGTGCTTTTGCTTAATGTTTTTTTTTTTGTATCGATCTGATGAGTTATGCCTTTTTAGCTGATTTTTATAGTTTGTTCTTATTTTTTGCTGTTATACCACTGTCCCAGGTTAAGGGGGTAAAGAGGGGGGGATTGATCGTTCACTTACATTTTTAACCCCGCTACATTCTGCATGTGCCTATCCCAAGTCAGGAGCCTGTAGTTCAGTGGTTGTCGTTTGTTCAAGTCTGTCATATTTGTTTTTTTTTTGTAAATTGTTTTGTTATAAATTATGCCGTTTTTTTCTCAATTGAATTCATTTTGTTTCATATTTTTCATGTCGGGGCCTTTTATAGCCGGCTATACGGTATGGGTTTTCTAATTGTTAAAGGCCTTATGGTTGCCTATAATTGCTTACATCCACTTTATTTGAACTTTGGTGGATAGTTGTCTCATTGGCAATCATACCACATCTCCTTATTTTTAATAAAAAAAATATTGTCATTAAGTCATGTCAAACGCATGCCCGTTTTTCTTGAAATATATCTGAGCATGCACTTTTGAAATGTTCTACCATTAAGCATGTTAAATATTTTAATGAAACGTTTTATGTTATCTGGTTTGGCAATCTTATAAAATAGCACTTACTTTATTTGCGGGCCATCGTGAGCAAACACATGTCTTTAGTACATGTAACGTACATCTATTACTTTTCAAGAACAAATTACTTTCATATTGCCGATAATAATATTATTAATTGAATAATATCAATTGACCCATCGATTGTTTTGAGTGTGTAAAAGATACATCCTTTCTCATCAAAGTGTATATGAATAAATTTGCCAAAACAATCACAAAAAGTAATGGTTAGTTATTAAATTTGATCTCAATTCTCCATTTTAAAATAGCACAACTGAAATGCTTACTTTTTGGTTTGAATATTTAAATTTGTTTGTTTTTTGTTTAACACCACTTTAAATGACCTTGGCAAAATCATGGCTGCCGGTTTTTATCATCAAATAATAACATCGTTTTAGCGCAAAACAATATCTTATCTATCTTTAAATTGACGCGAATACATACATCCAGCCAATCACCTGAACATCGATGTAAATTTGCTAATTATGCTCATGTCTGCTATTGATTTCAATTTTATATCAAATTCGACGTAATACAAACACATACATCTATAGTTCTGTATATATCACATAACAAAATTCCTAATAAAATGAGATAAAAGTTTACATCGTTTTAAATTTCAAATGCAAATATAAAACCAGTAGTATACACAATAATAATTAACTATTCGAAATTAAAAGCACATAGATAAATGCCAGCACAGCAAATATGAATGCCAACATTGACAATATGTCCCTGTTGTTGACGAGTTTCTCTGTTGGAAATGTTGGATCATCTTTACGTGTTTTCAAAACCTTAAATAAATTAAAATGGCATTTAGTATACACTTTTTTTTTAAATTTAACATCATTTAGTTTTTAACAATTTAAAACTATACTTACAAAAAAATGTAGTCCAGATAAGCAATAAAAAAAGCACATTTTTTTCTCGTTTATTGCTTCTTACATAAATCAGGCCGTTAGTTTTATCAGTTGAATTGTTTTACAGATGTCATTTCGGCGTCTTTTATAGCCTGATATGCGGTTTTGCTCATTGTTGAAGGCCGTACGGTGATCTAGTGTAGTTGCTAACCTTCTACGTCATTTGGTCTTTGATTGAGATTTGTGTCAATTTGCAATCATACCACATCTTGTTATTTCTATACATGTAGTCGAATTAAACATCCCAAGAATAAATAAATGTTCGCAATGCAAACTATGTGATGTATCTTTCTTAGATTAATAACAATAATACTTATAATTTTATAATGATGATAATAGAAATAAGAATGATAATAATAATACTATAATGATGATGATAATTTTCACTTGATATATAAAGACCTCCTAAATTGAATAATACTGAGCTCAATACTCTTACAATGCTTCGATAAATGCACAGAAAAGTTCTTGATTGAGAATAATTAAAACAGCACATTACTAACAACAGCAGCAATAACACATATAGATAAACCTAACCAAAAGTGAAAATTCGTCTGTAGAATTGTTCGAATATCAGAGAATGCATATGACTATTGTTTAAAACATTAAAAAGACTTGCAATAAAAATTAAACGAGGATTCATAATCCTTTAGTTTTTTTCATATACATTTAGGACAATTTTAATAATAAACCCTCACTGAAAAAGTGAATCACTATACACAATTTGCAGTTCGTTTTGCACTAATTAATCTTTGAATATAACAATATGAAAGGGGCGATTAGCATTACAGGTTCTTTACATATATATCCTAGTTTTTTACTTACAAATGGCAAAAAAGATTATTAACATATTATCACCATATTACCTGGTTTTTATCATATAATACTCAAATAGTATAATTCAAAATTTGATTATCTGTTTTTTTTTTCAAGATAACATATATATATACCACTCAACAAAAGTTTAGCAACATCACTTCTGACTGAAAATAAATTAATACAAAATTTCGAATATAGAAATTGTCTTTAACATGTTTAAAGTTTGTGTTTTCTTAATTTTCAATCGTTTATGTATGAAACGGTACAACAGTTAAGATGGTCAAATATCAGACAGCTACACTGTTCGCAAACTTTGAGGGAAGGGGTCATAAGTGATAGCCTCAATTTTTTTTTATATAAACACTATTGGAATTATACATGTATGTCCAAAAGAGAAATTTAATGAATAGCCAAACCAATATAAGGTTAATTTGGGGTGAATTTGAGCCTAAGAATCTTTATATTAATTAAAATTATATATATATATTGTTTAATTATAAAGATATAAAGATATATATATATATATATGTATATATATATATATATATATATGACAATGGTCGATATGTCAGCTGGAAAGTTCTAACAATCTTGGTTTTAAACCATCAATTATGTAAAATGAAAAGAATTTTCGCCACCGCCGGAGAACCATGTCTATGTCAAGCAGTCTTTATTAAGCAGAAAATATATGAACATGATTTTACCTGTTTCATTAACTGTAATACTGGTACATCAAGCGATGGAATAGTCGTAGTTGTATGTACCCCTTCGCTATCGATGTCATCGCAGTAATTTATGATATGAGCAAACCGATGCTGCGGTAATGCCAAGTGCTTGCGAAATTCTTGAATTTTGAATTTAACCCGTTCGTTGTTCGGTGGGTATTTGTCCCTAAATGTCATGACTCCATACACAGGTATTTCTATTTAAAAAGAAGAGAATAAAAAGAAGATTAGTTCAAAAGTACCGAGTTACCTTTGTCGTTTTTCTAAATTGCATCGTGTTTTACTTTATATTGGCCATATCCGCGAATGTGGTATTACAAGGACTGAACTGTAATCTTCCTTTAAGTTGTTTTTTTTTTAAGCGAGAGGGCCGACTTCACATATATTTGTTATACTCACAGGGTCAAATTCTAGAGATTTTCTATTCCGAACGGGAAAAAAATATTAGAGGGTCTATATCAACTACTTAAGATTTAATGTACATATTGTGGTTTTTTGATATCTTCTTGCGTTTTTAATTAAAAGATCTGTTCAAAAATGCGCCATAAAATTGTTAAAACCTCAAAGTAAACATTTTGGGCTGTTATATTGTTTAATCTGATCTAAAGGTAAGAATTGGAAATATTTTTTTTAATGATCGCATTTCTTAAAATGTCCGTTTATAAGTTTATGAATTATTAATAAATCAAGGTTCCAACTCTATCAGGGGAAATTGGTCTTAGATGGATTTGGCTATTATCTTTAAGGCTCGTTTGGTCATGAACCTCTTCGATTTGTCGGTATTTATACATCATTGGCTTTCCAATATTTAGCGTTGAGTGTTTCTGGTGAAGGTATTTCCAGAAAAGCGCGTACAATTTTCAAAGTTATTTTTCAATTTTTACAGCAGTGGGTCGATACCTTTGCTAGTGGACTATATATATCAGTCCCCAAATTTATAATCAGCTCAGTAGTCAGTACTTCGGTACTGACATAATTAATGAAAAACATTTCTTCAATTGTCCGTTTATAATTTATTTAGTTAAAAGAACTTAGGTTCCAACTCCCCAGGCAAATATGACCTTTAAGTTAGATGGATTTTGGCTAATATGTTTAGGTTCCATTTTGGTCATATAGCTCTGCCCTTGTTTCGGTACTTGGCTTTCAAATATTTGGCTTTTAGCATTTATTTACTGATGAATGTAAATCCAGAAAAACGCTTCGGACGCATACAATTGTTTTGAAACAAAAACAAAACGTGTCACTCATTTAATTCCTATGAATTTATGAACATTGCCAATTCTCATTGTTTTAGATTCTGTTGTTTTTTTTGTTTTTTTTTTCAATGAATGTTATTTGATAGATGCTCTCTCAACAACAATTGTGTTTTAATGTATAATTTTGCCTTCGTCGACCACATTATTGTGTTATTTTGATTTTAATTTTATGTTGCTTTACGTTGCCATATAAACGAGATGTTTGGTTAGTTGTAAAACCACTAGGTTTCCATATTTTTGTTACAGTAGTTCTTGCAACTCATATATCCCAGTGAACTTAAAATTGAGGCTACTACTGATACAAGAAGGACTGCTTCATTCCTTGATCTTTTCCTCAATATTGACAAAGATGGAAGACTTCACACTAAAATCTATGACAAACGGGATGATTTCAACTTCCCAATTATCAATTTCCCATTTTTCAGCAGTAACATACCCTCTGCTCTGTCGTATGATGTTTACATATCTCAATTGATACGTTATGCTCGTGCATGTTCACACTATACTGACTTTATATACTTGAGTGTGCTCATCACGCAGAAACTGCTCCAACAGAGTTATGAGGAGGAAAGATTAAAATGACACTCCGTAAATTGTATTGACACCATCACGAATTGGTTGATCTATACGATGTGTCTGTGTCTAAACTAACTAATGACATTTTTACAACGTCTCAGATTGTGGTGTAACATCTATGTCGTCTGACTGCTAAGTACCGAATGTGACCTATTCCCGAATATGACTGTTTGCCGAGTGTGAATTTGCATCGCTATACCACGTGTCTCGGTATTTTTATACATCCAACATTCATGTATTTCTTTGTGATGTTTCTGTTGTGGTTTCGGTTTGATAATGTGTTATGTCTTTATATCGTTTGTGGTTAGAATTCTGTACTTTCGGTACATTTCACATATGTCTTATTTTTCAGTATAGTCGAGGTAATTTCCATTTTCATGGATAAAGTATTGTGTTAGTCCGAATAATTATGACGTCGTCACAGCATTTATTAATAATAGCTTTTAAATACCGTCATTATCATGATAATTGTTTGGACAAGTATTGTGAAAACAATTGTATGAATTTCAAGATTAAAATTCGTTACAAAAATACGTCACTGTTTGTGATGTCATGTGCTCTCTGTCTTTAATGAAAGATGTTCGTTTCTATTCTGCGGTTTACATGTTGTAGCGACTAGTATATTATTTATTTGTGCGTTTCTCTGTGATGAATGTTCTTGCATTTGTTTGTGCTGTATTTCTTTCACGTAGTGTTGTCATTTTAGCGATATTTTTTTTAACATTACCATATAAGCGGGAGGTTTGACTAGCCATAAAACTAGTTTAGCCCACCATTCTTTTCTTAAAATTTACTGTACCAAGTCAGAAATATGGCAGTTGTTATCAAATAGTTCGTTTGTATGTATGTTGGCGTTTGTTTTTGTTGCACTTCTGTGTTTTTGTTGTTCATTAGTTTCCTCTTATACATGTTATAGTTAATGTGTTTCCCTCGGTTTTAGTTTGTAACCCGGATTTTTTTTTCTCTCAATCGATTGATGACTTTTGAACAGCGGTATACTACTGTTGCCTTTATTTATTCAACCCACCATTTTTTCTAAAAATGTCCTTTACCAAGTCAGGAATATGGCAGTTGTTATCAAATAGTCCGTTTCTATGTATGTTGGCGTTTGTTTTTGTAGCAGTTCTGTGTTTCTGTTGTACCGTTGTTTTCCTCTTATAGTTGATGTATTAACCTCGGTTTTGGTTTGTGACCAGGATTTGTTTTCGCTTTATCGATTTATTCGCTATGGAGATTCCGTATATCGTCAAGTTATCGGAATTCCAATGTGGACTTACTGTGCACCACTTATTGTGGACCTGTTTCTGTATTGTTATGAGTTACAATGTATGACTAAAATCAGCAAAGACCCATCGAAACAACATCTGATAGAAAATATAATAACACTTTTAGATATTTGGATGATATATTGGCTCTCAATAATCATGATAATGACGACCTCAGTATGTACACTAAAGAAATTTATCATGCTGAACTGACTTTAAATAAAGCTAACACTCACAATGAACACTGCCCTTTCCTAGAACTTGATATCTATATCTTTAACGGGAAGCTTAATACCAAAATTTATGATAAAAGAGATGATTTTTCATTTCCTATTGTTAATCAACCATTTTTAGATGGTGACGTTCCCTTGTCCCCATCTTATGGTGTTTATATATCTCAACTTGTTCGATTCGCTCGTGTATGTAACAGCATATTTGATTTTAACAAAAGAAATCTCTGTATGACTTATTACACCAGGGTTTTCGATATCACAAACTGGTCAAAACATTTACTAAATTTGATCATCGGTACAAGGACATCATTCGTAAATATAAACCAACATGCGGACATCTTATACGTTCAGGTATTTCACATCCAATCTTTTATGGTAATATTTTTTACAAAGCACAAAAATGTCGGCATTCACCTAAAAAGCTAACCAAACTTTTAAACAGACTTATTCAAAGGGATATAGTTACGATACTGTTGTCAGGTCATTGAAGATGGCATATTTTGGTATTAATAATATTGATTCACTCATAGGGTCTTTGCATCGGAAATAAACACATTTGTTCTAAAACCAGTTGTTGGCATGATACGGGCTATGTTCTTCACATATATTTTATTATGGCATGAAACTAAACCCCTAACGGGAGGGATTGTGCTTGATTTTCATATGATGAAGACATAATCTTTCAATCAGTTTAATTGAAGTCTGGAGCTGGCATGTCAGTAACTGCTAGTAGTCATTTGTTAATTTATGTATCAATGTCATTTTGCTTAGTTTCTTTTGTTACCTATTCTGACATAGGACTCGGACTTCTTTTAGGTTGCACTTTGTAAATACAGCTGTTTCACAAGCCACGCCTCTGTTAGGGAGATATCTAATATTCATAGATATTTTGTTTTGTTGACGTACTGGTTCCCAGATATGATCTCTATGTTTCATCTCATGAGATGAGTTATAAGTATGAAAACACATGGTAGCGTTGAAAAATGAATTTTGAGGAATACCCAAAGTGAAGGTAGGGATAGACTAGTACAGAATTTTGTTATAAGTTCAAACTCTTAGAAGTTCGGGGCATATACATCATGGACATGTTGAAAATATGCCGCACAGTCCTATGTTTTGACCTTTGAATAAAAAAGTAGTGCATATCAACTTTCCGTACTAGGATATAATTTTTTACGAAACTTCATAGTAAAAGTGGCACAGCTTTAGCCGCAAAGGGAGTTCCTATGGGAAATTGCATTGTCTATATTTACAGAAGTGCAACCTATATATGGTGAAAAAAGAGAACATATAGAATTTCACCAAATTTGGTTTATCTCAGAGATGTTAATGAAATTAATTCAAATATAAAGTTTTATAAATATTTCATGAAGATTGCGAAAATACAGGGCCTTAAATATGATGACTCAGCATAAATTCACAGTTTACAGTGTGCATAGTTTGCTCAAAGTCCTGAATGCAAAATAAATTCATAATTTATGCATATTTGTAATTTCAATTGTTATGAAGTGCTTATATTTTTTCTTCGCAGTCATTGAAACTCATAAATCCTTGATGAATATTGTTGTTGGGGTGTCTTTGTCCTGTCGATAACCCAAAAGTAAGCTGTAACACCTGAATTTGTTTTGTTTTTTTTTTTTGGGGGGACCGTGGCAGAAACAAAAATACAAGCTAGAAATACAAAAATACCTCAATAAAACTAACAATAGTGTGTTCTATCATAAACATGTACTAAATATTCCATATTCACAGAAACAGCAAAATAATTTAGCAAATTTGAGGCCCCAGTGGCAAAAATCAGAAACAAAATGTCTACCCCCTGGGTCATAAAACAGATAATTTAAACTGTAAATATTATGATTTCATTATTTTAAAGGTCTTTTTGTATAAAACACTAATTGTGCTTGGAAGTTATGCAAAAAGCAGATGTTAGCAGTCAGTTCTATAAAACTTTTAGTGAATTCATACATCAGACTGGTAACTTCATAAATACAACTTTTGCAAATATGGCTTTGTTTATACACTTCTAGTTCATATATTAGCTTAAGTATTTAAGAAATATGGTTAGAGATGATATTGTTGTGGCAAGATTTCTAAACTGGCCATTTGAGGTAGAAATTGTGAACTTTTATTGACAAATAGTCATACAGTAAGATGTGGACTGGAGACAGAGGCAGGATTGGATACTTTATATAATCTTGAATGTTGGAATAATTAACTACTAAACTTTATATTTATAGTATTCTGAAATGCTTTCAATTCGTTATCAGAATAGTTTCAAATAAGTTCTAGCCATTTCATCTAAGCAAACATACACATAGGGTAAGTAGACAATATGTAAAGTCTTGTTTTCAAACTCTTTAAAAATTGAAACAGGGGTCGGGATATAAAATGTACTGTAGAAGAAAAGTTAGAGTATTTGCAGTGATTTCTTTAAAGCTATAATTATAATTAATAAGTATTGTTGTGAGAAAAAGTGTTTTTCAAGAGTTTTCTATTTGAATACATGTAAGTATAGGTTGCACTTTGTAAATACAGCTGTTTCACAAGCCACGCCTCTTTTTGGGAGATATATAATATTCATGGATATTTTTTTTGTTTACGTACTGGTTCCCAGATATGATCTATATGTTTCATCTCATAGAGAAATAACTTGGGAATGTTACCAGTATAAAAACAAATGGTAGCGGCGAAAAATGAATTCCGAGGAATACCCAAAGGGAAGGTAGGGCTAGTACAGAATTTTAGTATAAGTTTAAACTCTTAGAGGTTCGGGGCATATGAATGTTAAAAATATGCCGCACGTCCCTATTTTTTTACCTTTGAATAAAAAAGAAGTGCATATCAACTTTCCGTTTTAGGATATAAATTTTTACGAGACTTCATAGTAAAAGTGGCACATCTTTAGCCACAAAGGGCGTTCCTAAGGGAAATTGCATTGTCTATATTTACAGAAGTGCAACATATCAGCTGAGTTTTACTGTGCGTATTGCTGTGTGTTTGTTTATTCTACATCGGCTAGAGGTATAAGGGGGAGGGTTGAGATCTCACAAAACATGTTTAACCCCGCCACATTATTGCGCCTGTTCCAAGTCAGGAGCCTCTTGCCTTTGTTACAATTGAGAATGGAAATGGGGAATATGTCAAAGAGACAACAACCTGACCAAAGAGCAGACAACAGCCGAAGGCCAGCAATGGGTCTTCAACGGAGCGAGAAAATGTTTTTTTAATTTTAGTTCATTTATATGTTTTGGAGTTTAGTATGACGTCTATTTTCACTGAACTAGTATACACATTTTTATTTAGGGGCCAGCTGAAGCCCGCCTCAAGGTGCGGGATTTTCTCGCTGTGTTGAAGGCCCATTGGTGGCGTACGCTGTTTTCTGCTCTTTGGTCGGTTCTCTTTGACATATTCCCCATTTCCATTCTCAATTTTATTATGACTGTTGAACAGCGGTATACTAATATTGCCTTTATTTAGCTACTGTGTTGTCGTATTAGGCAGTAACCATTACAGAAAAGAATTTTGGAGACAGATTAAAATAAGCAATGTTGCTTGCTTCTGAATCCCATTGTTCATACTGTATTATAATATATAGCATGATTTGACTTATCGAATAAAATATTGTTTAAACCAAAAGAAAAAAATGTCAAAATACAGATTGACTTGAAGGATTATTTATATTGTTTTATTATTGCCGTTTTTTTACTCCATTACTGGCCACTTAATATTTAAAAATATACTTGTAATCCCCTATCTGTATCTGTACTGTGCAGAGGTTATTACCATTATAATTGACAATTACCTGTTTTGAGATAAACTAATCTGTCAATTAATTAGCTCATGATAATTGATCAACTTGTCCGTTGGAACAACACTGATTCATAAATATGGTAAAATAAATAGTTAAAATGAAAAAAGAAAAAAAGGAAATATTAGAACTGTCAACTGAAACTTTCAGCATGTATGACCTGCAGTATTGCCCATAAAACCATTATTAATAAGCATGTAAATCACACTGATAGGCTACATAACCTTTGCCTATTTTTTGGATTTACAATTTTAAAGTGTGTAAAACCACGTGCACACTACATATCGGTAGATAAATGAATACATAAAAAGAAAACGTTTAAAACAAAGGATGTTGTTTTGCCAATTTATGTTATACTAGCATTTCATAGTTACCCCTGTGTTTTTTCTTCGCTTTCCATACAGCATTGAAGAAGCTCGGTGGTAAATTATCATCAGGATTTGACGTACAGACTACAATAATCCGATCAACTGGACGATGGCACACTCCCTTTCGAATGAAATAATTAAATCCGGAGCTTTTTGCACTTGTCAATTCTTCCTCTTCCCTTATTCTACCAGCAAATACCAACTCGAGAAGCGCCAAAGTTTTTGCAGAGTCTTCGTCCTCAAACCCAGTCATGTCCAAAAACGTCGGCATTAGATAAGCGTCTGTTGGTTTGTAGTAAACGTCTTTGGGGAAGCTATATATAAAGAATATCATTTACAGTAAAAATTATGTATATAGCAAATTGTTTATCCTTATAGTAAAGTGTTTCGGCACGAATGCAAAACATTCATGATTCCGTGAAAACATTGGATATCGTGAAACCTTATGGAATATAGCAATAGGATTCGTAACAGTCGACAAATGAAATTTGATTTCTTACCTGGCTACAATCTTTATTACAAAATTGAATATCATAAAGTATAGATAAAAAAGGTTAATATTTATTGTACGATTAATGTCTTAAAAAAGAATTATTGTTTTTTTTAAATTTGACAGTAACTGTTTCTATTTGACAAAAGTGTGTAGTAAATCTCGTATACGAATTAGAATAATTTAAACGATCGAAGGAACATAACCTATTCGACTCAATAGAGCTTTCTTACATTTTGACGAAAGGTACGAACGAACGTAAAGGGAGCATGTATAACATTCTCACGATAACACTTAAAGTCTATGTTTTATGCGATAAAACTGCATTCTCTTCCGAATCAAAGGTATATTTAAACATAAACCATATTGCGTATAGAACGCGATTTTATTACTGAAAATAAAGACAAATAGTGTAAAATACACTCACGTCCAATACGGTGCTTTATATGTTAACCATGATTACACATATTTGCGCGGGAATTGTTCATGCATGCTATTCAAATGTTTAAACCATAAACATTTTAATGAAACTTCTCTAAGTTTAACGACAAAATTCTTTATTATTTCTATAAATTAAAGACTATGCCATCATCAAGTTGTCAAGTTAAACGTGGATCAGCAAAATGTGCCAGACTAAGATGCAACAATGTATGGAAAAACTTAAAAAAACGAACAAACTGGGAGACAGAAAAAAAAAATTGTTTGAAGTTCTTTTAATTAATTTAAATGTCAAATGTGAACAAAAACCAGCGAACACGTGAAATCCAGTGTCAATTCAAGTGGAACACTAATGTTGACTTAACACACACACACCCTCACAAACAGTTTTTATTTAGATACTAGTAGTTAGATATAGGATAAATGTCTACAAAACAACAACCAACCAACAAATGTATGACAATCACCATCAATTTAAATAAAGTTCAATATGAACATTAGGGAACGAAAATTTGATTTTTTTAGGGGGGAGGGGGGGGGGGGAGGGGAGGGGGAGAAGACAATCTCGCACTACATATATTCTGAATTTCAATACTGATGAATTTACAGTAAACTAGCTCGGATGAAATGGCAGATTAACGCTGAAAGAACGATTCCATAGGTAAGCTTACAGACTCGGGTGTATGTAATCAACACAAGGCGACAAACAGTATTACACGTGGGAGGAGGGGGATCTCTATAAACGTTAAAAAAAGAGACATTTTTTCAGTTTTACTATATGGGGGGGATGCAAAAACGTAAAGTAGAAAGTAATGCTTTGTGTTTATTTCTTTATTTTCAGGGGGGGGGGACCAATATATTTGCCTTGGTATTTTCTTAAGTTGAATAATGTAAAGATGAAAATTCAAGTTTGACTTGTGCCGTTGCAAGCAGTGTAATGGTTCTTGTGAGGCAAACCTTGAGGCAAAACGCCATCTAAGTCCCATGGTAGCCTTGATTATGATTACATAATTAGAAATGTCATATTTTGAAAAGAGTCAAGATAGAAGATCCTTCAGAGGGGTTTTACGTATGATTCGTCAACCGTACGTACCTTTCATCAAATCAAACACTAATGTATAAAAAACATAACATTTGTTACTTTTATATCTTATTATTTTTTTATAATTGACAAAAGATAGGTGAGCATTAGTTGGAGTTCTAATCGTAGAAGCATAGCAAATGATTATGTGTTTGTTTCCGATATGTTTGGAAAAAGCAGTGCTATAAGCATGATAAGGAGCTACTTTGAGGGAAAGCGTGGAGACCGTGTATATTCCATATTACGTTAGTAGACGGGGTTTATTTCAATACACGGTTTGTAGTGGTGTTACGTCCCTTTTTAAAAACTGCACGGTGTTGAAGGAAAATATTAAAGGTTTCAACAGACGAAGAAATTGATGATGAACGATTGAAATGAATTCATTTAAAGCTAACAAGTTGTTATTGTTGGCATTTGTTTTTGTATAGACCAATGGAAGTAAGTTCTTAATACTAACGGTATTGAAGACTTGATCACTTTGATAGGCCACTAGTCTAAATACCACATGTTAAAATGGTCGGTAAGATAAATTCGTTACATAGTGTGCTAGTGACGTAATACGATATATATAAGTAAATTCCATATTTTGGTCGATTAATAAATAGTTTTTGGACATTTAAAAAATATAGAGTCTATGCAAGAACAGACTAGAAATCTCAATTCTAGCTGACATTTTGCATCATTAAAAAAGGGAATACGAAACACGTTAATCTGTTGCAGATCAACAACGACTTATACCATGTTATCTGCTAAATAAGCGTACTGTTTCTTTACCCAACGAATACAGCGATATGAAACATCTTACGAATTCAGTTAACACCGCTTAGTCTTGCACATTGACCCATTTCTATTGACAACCTGTCCCTTTTTTAGTTTTGAAAAGTGACAAACTAATTATATATAAAAACGGAAAATCATTATTTCTAAATATCTGAACATAACAAAAGTAACTGATTATATTTATACTTGGCTTTGTGTAACAGTTGTTTAAAATACATAATAGTGTTTTGTCAAATTAAGGAATGACCGTAAAAAAAATTCTGTGTATGAAGAAATAACATAAAAAAATGTGGTGCACACTGAATAACATGCGAAGCGGGTTATTTAAAAGTGTAAACCACATTTTTGAGGTTATTTCGAAAAGACAGAAAAAAATCTTACAGTCATTTCTTATAATTTAATTTTAAATTCCATTTTTAAGGATTAAATCATGAACAAATGTTGATGATGTCACTGTCACATGACAAAATTATGTCTATGAGTTGATAGACAAAATACTTTAAGTCAACCATAAGACTTGTTACATCTAAAATTAAATTATATAGTTTCTGAACATTAGAAACACTACAAATACTAAGTACAATTATAAAAATATAAAATTGTTTCCAATACGTTAAAATAAAACCAAGGGAATATTAAGCAGTCCGAAGTTCAAGGGAAATTTCATTTTTGAAACAAGAGAAAAATCAATGATGTTTTTTGAAAACGTTAACAGTTGGTTATGTGTCTTTTTCAAATTTTCATTTTTATAATTTTCAAGTTATAACATTAAAAAGATAAGGGGAATATACAAACCTCTTGAATCGTGTTGTGAACTGTTTACCAAGTGTGCCAAAAGATCCAAATTGAACTATATCTTCCCAACAACTTGTACTAAAACTAGCAAATATTGTGTTTAATAGCGACGATTTCCCTCCGCCGGGTAGGCCAATGATAGCAATATTCAATGGTGGCTTCGTAGAAAGATCAGTTCCGGCAATTTCCTGACATTCCTTAATCAGTTCTATTTTTTCTTCATACTTAGGATCATTTTTTTGATTTTCTTGTGGAATGATATGCTGCGCTTGACTGTAATACTGTTCTACAAAAGAATTCTCCAACACATCTCGTTTCATCTGGAAGTAAAAATATATGTATGGAAGTAACTGTCATACTAAAGAGACATCAAAAGAAAGATATCGAAACTATCGATGTTCTCTTTTGTGATGAAATATCAGAACGAAAATAATACATTTCATGTGACTGTATCCGTGAGTGTGTATTAGGTATTTAATTATGGAGATGTGGCACTGTTGCAACCATACTACCAAAAGAACAAAGACGAGAAAATATAAAGATCACTATATGGATGCAACAACTAGAAACACCATTACCATATGGTAATTCATAAAATGCCCGGTATGACAATTTACGCAAGAAAATAAATTTCCTCATCTAAACACACCAATGAATAAAAACAAATACAGTATAACAGACTGTGAGTAACAATTACCACTGGATTACAGGTTCCTTACTTTGGAAAAGGATATAAAGTGTGTGGCGGTTTCAACACGTCTGCGACTGCTCAACGCTTACCTTTCACATCAGTGTAACACACACAACATTTTACTATCCGGAAAACAAGATGTGGGGTGCCGTCTCACCTAGAAGAACAAACTACTACGTGTAGCTACTCTTTGAATGCTTAACACAATAAAACATAAAGTCAAATGAGGCAGATATTAATGTCATATTTTTAGTCAACATTTTTTTTAACCAAGCCTCAGCCAAGTTGTGAGTCAAGGTATGAATGATACCAAGCTTTATACTCTGTTCTCAGTATTTCATTAGAAAACTATTGAGAAGTGGTAAGAAGATTGCCAACCAGACAAAAAGATCATATAGGACATCGATTTGAACAAATGGCTTTCTGCACTGGGTAAAACGCACACCTTAAGGTAAACTAAAAAAGGTCCGGGGTGAAAAAATGAGAAATTAAAGAAAGCTGCAATCAAAATAATCATCAGACTTTAAAAGTATCCAGTAAAACGGAATAATACATTAAAAGATGAACAAGGGACTAAAAGGAAAATATTAAACTTTTCATATTTCTATGAAAAACTAGTAAGTATTCATTTTCCGGATACAAATACAGGACAAATACGGCGGAAAGAGGCGCAAAATTGCTTTCCATATTAAGAATGCATAAATATGATATCTGAAATTAACAAACGTATTAGATATATCAAAATATGTTGTCAATTAAAAAAACATACACAAAAAAAAAAAAAAAAAAATGTTAGTATGTTCATGTATGTTTTTTAAGAGATTTATTTTCACATAGCCTAATATATCTCTATCACTCATAGGGTCTTTGCATCGGAAACAATACAAATTTTATTCTAAAACCAGTTGTTGGCATAATAGGGGTAATGTTCTTATATCGTATATTCTATGGTGGTATGATACTAAACCCCTAACGGGAGGGATTGTGCTTTATTTTTATATGATGAAGACTTTAATCTTTCAATCAGTTTAATTGAGGTCTGGAGCTGGCATGTCAGTTACTGTTAGTAGTCCTTTGTTAATGTATGTATCATTGTCATTTTGCTTAGTTTCTTCTGTTACCTACTCTGACAACGGACTCGGACTTCTTTTAAACTGAATTTTACTTTGCTTATTGCTGTGTGTTTGTTTATTCCACATTGGCTAGAGGTAAAAGGGAGTGAGATCTCACAAGACCTGTTTAACTCACTGCATTTGTGCGCCTGTCCCATGGCAGGAACCTCTGGTCTTTATTAGTCTTGTTTTCTTTTTTTTTTTTTTTTTTTTTCTCATTTATATGTTTCGGAGTTTAGTGTGACGTCCATTTCCGCTGACCTAGTATACATTATTGTTTAGGGGCTAGCTGAAGCCCGCCTCCGGGTGCGGAATTTTCTCGCTGTGTTGAAGACCCATTGGTGGCCTTAGGCTGTTTTTTTTTCTAGTCGGGTTGTTGTCTCTTTGACGCATTCCCCGTTTCCATTCTCAATTTTATAATTTATCTCTACGTAAAACATGAAACATTTGCTGACATTCAAATTGAATGTGCACCAATTGGACGTTTAGTCTTTTTTCAAACAAATTCTTTCTTATTTGATAAACTGCATTCAAAGAAGTCATTGGTGATAGGCATTTTTACATCCTTTGTGACTTTTATACTGAATAACATCCGAAAAGCACGAATACCATTAAAACATACGCATTTGAGAAATAAAATGAATTGGACTATAGTTAACAAATGGCTGGTATGGTGATTACTTGCGGCTATATATGCATGTTTAAGATTTCTAGTTTGCTAAATCAAAGAGTAATCTTGCGTCAACTGAGATATTTTAAATACATAGGATGACAAATAGGGTTTAGATAACAAGAGGGCAACAGAACTCCCCAATTTCAATTAAAACAAACAACACCATGGCAAGAAAGAAAACGGAATAAAAGACAAACAATAGTCCACAGTCACTTCACAGAACACCAACGATTGAATACGAACCCAAATTTTATTATTCGTTGCAAGACAATACTAGGTTTTAAGTTGCAATCGGTGCTGTCAATATCGCAGAAAAGAGAACCGAATTTGACTTTGACAAATATTTTAATATCTGAGATCATCTGTGGCACAAATTTCCTAACAGTCAACCTATTCATCATTACGTCTGTCAAACTTTCGAAATGATGACTTTAACTTTACCATTTTGCATTCTTGGTTCAGTTTATTCCTTCGTAATAACATGAACGGTACCAATTGTACTGCACCAGATGCGCATTTTGACAATTCATGTCTCTTCAGTGATTCTCATGGCCAAAATAGTTGAAAGTCAAAAACCTTAGAGCCGATAAAACCAAAAATAAATCAAAAAGTAAAATCAAACCCGGACAAGAAATCGGGGTTAAGCATGAGGTAGATACAATCATGGATTTAAAAAGATTTCAGAATTTATAACACAATATTGGTATTTTCGTGACAGTAGTGAAAAAATCGTAGATAGTGAAAAAAATCTTCTTCTTTTATTTTTGTTAGCCACATTTCTAAAGAACACAATTGGTTACCAAGTGTTAAATCTCTTAGTAACGATTTTCAACTTCGTTTAATTTAGTGAAAAAATTTGGCCTTGGAATACAAGTAAAACTGCTTCCTTATCCTCTAGATTATCTTTTTGCAATGTTTTCACTGTTTTCTATATAAACAACAACAAATGATAATAAAAGAAAGTAAATAAATTAACAAACAAAAAACTTTTATCAATGAACATAATAATGTTTGCAAAAACGTCCCGTGTTTTTTTGTTTTTTTTGTTTTTTGTTCTCCGTATGTTAAATGTGACATTCATCATGGTCATAGTCCATCTCACAAAATAAAAAGATAGAAAACAAAACTAGCGCAGTCGTTAAAAAAATAATCAAATTTAAAGTTAAGGTTTGTTGTGAAAAAGAAGCAACATGACTGTACAAATGTGTCGTATTTTCCAAAAAAGGCTACTAAAGTATTTAATTAAATATGCATTTTAACATTTGTATATTTAATTAAATACTTCCCTGTTAAAAAAAAGCAGTGGTGTGTATCATGGTTAATACGTTCATTTTAGAAACAACGATAGCCTGAATCATATTTAATTCTTTATATGTAAATTTAAGTTGGAAAACGTGTTTAAAACTCTTTGTTAGAACTACTACATTTGATATTCCAAAACTTTTAGGTGATTGTCCTTAAACTACTTTTCTATATGACTTACCGTTAACGTAAAGTTACGACTTTCGTTACTAAACCGAAATTAAAAAAAAAATTATTACACCATTTGGAACTCCTCTGGTTCTATCTATCTGTATATAACATAGCATAAAGAAATATTGCACGCATGAATTAATGTGAATATGTCAGCAAAAAGCCATTGACTGAAGGAAATCATAGTTTTTGACACACAACAAAACTGAACAGTTTAAATGTAATGCACATGTTTAAATTGATTAGTTCAAATGTACTGTCATATAACACCAAACGTGGTTGATAATGATCCGTATGTGTATGTGTTGGTAAAGGGGGTGAAGGAGTTGGATGTGTTTGTGTGTGTGCGCGGGGGGAGGGGTATGGGGGATAATTAGAGTTTCATTTATCTTCCATTGTAAGCTCAGAATAAATGTTTTTATTTTTGAAGGGCCCATCTTAAAAATGCACCCTTGTCCCTGTTCTACAGTCTTATAAGTCAGATTCATGTCAAAAGATATAGATATACCGACATGAAAGTAAAACTTGTACCTACATAATTGACAAAATACTTATTTCGAGTGAAATACTCATTTAGATAGGTAAGAATTCGAGTTAGAAAAAGGGAAAATATACGTATTACACATGAAGTTCAGAATCGAGAACACATTGACTTTTCTTGTTATGTTTTTTTTTTTCACTATCAAAAGGTTTCTGGATTATTTAGGCTTAATTAATATGTTACCGTATTTAGTGTAAGGATTTAATGTTCTAATACTTAATTATTATATTTCCTTTCGTTTGAAATTGGTGTTTCTCCGTTTGCTGCTTGCATAAAGTATGTAAAGATAGGAACTAGTATTATTTAGTCTAGTCTTGCAACAGTACTTATTCTAATACAGTTTGATGTTAGGTACACAACGGACAAAAAATAAAGTTTGGCGATTTGTAAGGTGTGTATGACACGTCGTAACCACTTTAATGAATTAATCCTGCTTCATCTCAGAAAAACTGGAATTACATTAGCTTAATCATGGATCACATCACTGTCTTGGTTCAAGCTGAGATAAACATGGATTTGCTAGGATATTTGGAGATAATCCGAAAAAGTAGATAAGCCGGGATATTCTTCAGTTAAATGTTTTACTTACCTTTTTGGAAAATATGTTTGCCATGGAGCAAAATTTGTCTTCATTTAATTTAATAATTTAACACAAAATAAAATCATTTATATTGTAGTCATTTCTAGAAAAAGATGCCGATACAGAACCACCGCTTTCTGGGCAGATAGTACCCCCTCCAAAGACCTACAGTCATTCATTAAACGTACAAACCAAGCCGCTAGTGCTTCGTACATTGTATGAGTCCTATGAATATGACCTCGGGTTCATGTTTTATATTTAACGATGTAACTCCAATTCATCTTTCCATATGTCAAGTAATGCTAAGTACTTATAATTAAACTGCATCTGAGTTAACCAAATGGAATGACGATGATAAATTACGCAAGTAATGTTGACAATGTGGGTCTGTATAAAAGTAATTTCGTATTATATATGTATGAAAGATAACTATGGAATATTTTCAGGTATTGATGATTGTGTTTCACGTCCATGTCAAAATGGGGACACCTGCATGGATCGAATCGATGGATTTAACTGTTCTTGTATATCTGAATATGATGGAATTTATTGTGAGAAAGGTGAGATTAAAAGTAACGGTAGTTTATATGAAAAGTTGTGTACATTTTGTGGTGTATGATTTATTCACAGAATCTGTTTTAATGCATCTTGTCTTTCACGGCCGAACTAATAAAAACTCTTCATTAAAATAAATGATGGGTACGTTTTTCTATTTATTTCATCAGAAGGTATTGGCAATGTTGGACGTATTTAGACCAAAAAAGTAAAAACACACTTGTGCACCTCGGAAAATTTTAATACATAACAGAACAAAGAAAAAAGAATGTTTGAACAAATTCCCGAACTCAAGGTTAAATTCAAACAGGGGGAGGTTAAAAAAACATTACAAATTTAACGCCACACCAACGGAACGATTTGACAACTACTGTCATATTCTAGACTCGTTACAGCCATTCTCAGAGGAAGATAATGAGTTAAACCGGGTTTTCAAGCTAGAGAAACCCCCACTTAACATGCATTGTGTGTTTTAGGAATAAGTTTTTTTAGGTATTAAGATTCATTTTTGTTCAAGACTGCAGTTGGTTATAAAATAAACAAACGTTTACCATTTATCAGACATGGTCCACTCAGTTTACAGTTGATATAGCCGATATCAATTGTCTCTCTATTGTACATGTAGATCAATACAATTCAAATCTATTATTACAGGAAGGATATATTTCAACCACTTCAACAAGCAGATCTTATTTTGGCACTTTTTGCAGTAACAATAAAATCCCACAAAACTTGTATTGTTCTAAAACTAAGAATGTATTCATTTTGATCCTACAAAATTGTAAAATTTGGAAAACTGTAGTTAATTGGTTTTAAAATCTCCTAAATCCATTTTCAAAGGTTAAAAATCAATGTAAAAATACAAAAACGCAGGGAATTGCATAAAATCCAAAAGTGTGTGCACCGAATGCGTTGAAATAGTAAGCATATATCTTCATATGAATCGGAGTTCCTTCAGACACTTGTCAAAAACAAGAAGATCAAAGAAGCCAGGTTATTTAATTTCACTTTCAGATATATTGATGATGTTCTTTCCATTAACAATCCGAACTTTTCTGATTGGGTTCCATTAGTATATCCACCAGAACTAGAAATAAAAGAAACAACAGACACGGCTTCCTCCGCCTCATTTTTAGACTTATACCTCGAATTTGACATACACAGTCATCTCAGTACCAGAATCTATGACAAACGAGACGATTTAAATTTTGAAATTATCAATTTCCCCCCACCTTAGTAGCAAAATAACAACTTCACCTGCATATGGGATATACATTTCCCAACTTATTCGGTATTCAAGAGCTTGCAGCTCCTACTCAGACTTTGTAAAACGTCACCAGTGTCTGAGCAGAAAGTTGATGAACCAGGGGTATGTCAAAGAACGTCTCGTCCTTTTTCTATAAAAAATTAATCGGAAGGTACCAAGACCTGTTGATAAAAATTCCATATCAACTTCACAAATAATACACGATCGTCTTGAAGTATAGATTCTGCGTACTGACGTTGTTTATCATCTTAATAAAGTGTTAAAGTATTCTTTTATTTGTCTTTATCAATATTACTTTTACTTTTAAGTCTGTTTTTTGAGATATCCATTTGACGTGACTCTGTACTTATGTATCCCGTCATACTTTGAACGACAAAATTATTTTATTTATTAATATTACTTTTACTGTTAAGTCTGTTTTTGTGATATACATTTGACGTGACTCTGTACTTATGTATCCCGTCATACTTTGAACCACAAAATTATTTTATTTATTAATATTACTTTTACTGTTAAGTCTGTTTTTGTGATATCCATTTTACGTTACTCTGTACTTATGTATCCCGTCATACTTTGAACGACAAAATTATCTTATGTCTATCTGTGCGAATTTTAAACGCGCGATTCTACGCCAGTAATTAAAACCTTCCATCCTTTATGGGTGGATTTTAAATAGATAAATTAAATCGTATAATAAAAAAGCAAAATGAGGATGTTAAATTTGATGTAAGCCTTTTTGTTCTTCTTCGTTACATTTGTTTGTTTTCATAGTGAATAAGATGATAACACAACGTTGACTGCTGTACCCCTATTTTTGACATTTTTATCTATTTTGTCTGTTTGTTTTGTTCACGCATCGTTGTCAATATAATGGAATTTGATGCGACTGTCAAACAAGTGTGAGTTTTAACTAGCTATAAAACCAGGTTCAATCCACCATTTTCTACACAAGAAAATGCCTGTACCAAGTCAGGAATATGACAGTTGTTATCCATTTGTTTGATGTGTTTGAGCTTTTTATTTTGCCATTTGATTAGGGACTTTCGTTTTTGAATTTTCCTCGGAGTTCAGTATACGTATTTTTGTGATTTTACTTTCTATTTCAAACGAAAAAAAGTATTGTTTTGAGAAATATTATAAAGTGAACAAGGTTAGGAAAATTGAAGTGCAAATGTTATATTTCTATGATAAGGTTAAAATTTTATCGATTCAATAAGTATAATTTATATCTTTATTATACCACAAATATATCAATCAATAATAAATAAATGGAAAAATTTCAAGTCTCTAAACTTGAATTCAAGAGACGGTAATGGAAAGCTGTAAATCAGGAATACAACTGAACACCTGGTCTATTTCTCGTATTTCTACACTCAAAATATTGTCAAAATAAAACAGTATCCAGTGAAATGTGAATAAGTTCTTTTTCATCACCGTGAAAAGGAAACAAAATATTGAAAAAGTAAAAAAGTGATCCATTTGAAAAAATTAAAATAAACTATATTTTTGTCTAGCATTACAATTTGAATTATTACAGAGGTTCATTTAAGAGAAACAGAGGTCCAAGTCAATGAAAACGAAAGTGCTTTGTTGATTGTGTCGCATATCATATGGACACGACATCAACATTGTTCTGGACAAGATCAGTTGACAATACCAGTGTTGTAGTGTCTGAATATGCAGAAGGGGGTGATAGTATGTCACCTAATCTATTTTTTGCTAACATCAAAAGGTCAGATGAAGGAATTTATAGATGCCATGTTCAAACGGTTGACGGAATAATTGAAACCAATAAGGTCCAAGTATTGTTTAACACTTGTTTGTTGTTAATAATATTAATATTAGTTCGAATAAAGTTATAGTAGATACAAAAACACAAAATATTCAACACACAAACTTATACTATCGATAAATATTGTGATAAAAACAAAAAACAAAAACCAACAAACATCAAACTTACGAACTTGCAAGAATTGTAACTTTAAACACCTGTAAAAAATTCGACATCAAGAGAAAACGTTTACTTATTAATTTTTTTGATTTTTAGTTATTCTGCAAAAAGGCTAAACCGTTTCTTGATAATTTGTTTTCTTTAAAAAATCAAGAATTCTCTAAATATACTGCCAAAATTCACTAAAAGGAACTTAGTT